CTGATTGGTGTTTCTGGCTTCTTGGGATATATTCCTAGAAGTGGGATCACTGGGTCAGATGGGAGTTCCATTTTTAATTTTTTGAGGAAACTCCATACTGTTCTCCACAGTGGCTGCACCAGTCTGCATTCCCACCAGCAGTGCAGAAGGGTTCCTTTTTCTCCACATCCTCTCCAACACTTGTTGTTTGTTGATTTGTTGATGATAGCTATTCTGACAGGTGTGAGGTGGTACCTCATTGTCGTTTTGATTTGCATCTCTCGTATAATTAGTGACTTTGAGCATGGTTTTTATACCATTTAAAAAAATAGCTTTCAATTTTCAATCTGGTCTACCCTCAGCTAGGTGCACCGTACCCACTCCACATATCCTGTCCCTTCCACTGACTCCCCACATGGCCAGGGGCTCTGATGCCCTTTCATATTCAAATAGAGGTGCCGATGAAAACAAACCAGAGGTGTGTGATACAGTGACATTTTAGCAGAGATCAGAAAGGCTTTCCCTGACCACTTGATATACAGTCCCCTCCACCCCCACCAACCATTATTCTTGATTGCTCTTGCCCTGCTTCATTCTTCTCACTAGTCAGTATACATCATTTCCTGACATGTGCTTATGTATTTGTCTCTTTCCACTAGAATGGAAAGTCAGAAGGTCAGGGATGCTTTCTATCTTTGTTTTTTGTATTTCCTATTGAGTCCCCAACACCAGAAAAGTAGCCAGCATTTAGTTTGTTTTCAGTAACTCAGAATCAAGAATGACGGCCATGTTCAAGAATAAAATTCAACCAAGTAAGTTTGAAGATACTGGCTTTAATAAAAAAATTCATGGATCAGGGAACATATCATTTAACAACTAGAAGGGTGCTCCAAAGAGTTGTACAAAATGGAAGATGTTTCCATGCAGAAAGAAAGAGGGATCTGAAGTTAAAAGAGCGGGTTACTTTCCCTTAGGAGAAGGCAGGGGGTCTTGTTGGGCAGACTACTTCACTAGCGTTGATCAGGAAATTCCAGACTAACTGGTTTAAAGTTTCACTCCTGGAAGAGACTGAATCTGCAATTAGGTTAGTTAGTAAGTTTTCGTTTGGTGGCGTGGCTTACCAAAGGTGAGTCCATTTTGGCCTGTTGTTCCATTTTATCAACAGTGACACTGAAGGTGTGTGGCACCCAGCCACCAACATGACTCCCAACCATCCCTGCCTCTGCTATTCATGTTCTTGTATGAGCCCCCCCCACAGTGAGTAGAGCTGACTGCCCTGTGGAAACAATGGCGGAAATGACAACATGTGACTCCTGAGCCTAGGTCATAACAGATGCTGTGGCATCCACCTCGCCTTCACCCTCGGATTACTCCTGGTGTCACGAGGACGCTCAGCAGCCTATGGACGGGCCCGCGGGAGAAGGAACAGTGCCCCTGCTGACAAGCAGCACCACTTGGGAGTGAACTGTTTTGAGAGTGAATTATCTTAGAAGCAGATCTCAAACCTTTCAAGCTTTCAGGCCAGAACCCCATGACTATGTTGCTCCCAAATTCCTGACCCACAGAAACTGTGTGATATAATACAAGTTTGTTTGGGGGTAACCTATTATGTCACAGTTGCCATGACCTCTGCTGGTTCTCTGCTGCACTTCTGCATTTGCTTTTCCTTCAGCTTAAGCCTCCATTCCTTCAGAGAGGTGCATGTCTTCTCTCGCTTCCATCAGGTCTCAGCTAAAATGCCATGCTATGCAGTTATACAGCAATGCAACAATGGATAACAAATACAGGATGTGCTTGAGATATCCAGGAGGTAGATGCAACTGGATGTAGCAACTGATTGGATATGAGGGATAAGAGACAGGAAGGAGTCAAAATGATTCTCCATTTATTGGTTTGTGTAATGAGTTTTCTGGATTTAGGGAAACAGGTTTGGGAAGAGATTATAAATACAGTTTTGGCCCTGCTGAATTTGAAAAGTCTAACGAATACCCAAGTGGAGTTGTCCAACATGCAGGCAGATGTACCATTTGTAACACAGAAGACAGATCTAGACTAGAAAGTAAGATCTTAGAATCAGAGCCAGCTGTACAATTTCCAGGGCCCAGTGCAAAATGAAAACGCAGGGTCCCTTGTTCAAAGACTGCATGACATCCTTCAGCTGCCAGGGCCCCCTCCCACCAATCTGTAGCACTGACAGACCATGCTCTGGCTGAGGGTAGGGAAGTTGAGCCAGGTATCTCCTCTTCTCATGGACTCTATGCTCCAAATTACAGTGGAAGAGCAACATCCAAGAGATTGGCACTTCCCTGCCAGGATGCACAGGAATGGGGGATGGGTAAGAGACTCATCTCCACTGAGTCACTTCTGGGTACCCCGTGACACTGCCAGTCTAGGGCAGGGACAGGTGCCACCATGCCCCAGCCTAAGATACCATGGGTACATACACATGAACTTAACCTTCCCTGTGCCCTTGCCCAGGTCCCCCCAGGCCCTGGTGATCCTGGTCCTGAGTGGGGCAACGGGGAGGATGGGTAGGGCTGAGGTGCCAGGGAATAGGGGAGCTGGCGCTGAGAACCCACCCCAAGGAGGCAGGACTGCATGTGAACTCACACAAGCTCTACTGTCTCTTTGAATTTCACTTACAAAATAAAATTCAAAGGTGACATTATTAAGAATTTCAAGCCAGCAACCACAGAGTATTAAGACCCCAAGCATTAAGCCTTTTTTTGTGTAGGACCCTGTGTGAATGCGATGTTTGAATGCCTATGAACCTGGCCTTGCTTGGGATAGTCAAGTTCTATGCCTGAATGAGTTTAAAAGGGGCCCAAGGACTGAAACCAGAGAAACACCAAGATTTAAGGAATGGGCAGAGAAAGCACATCCTGTGACCAAATGAAGGAGACCAATGATAGAGGAAATACTTGGCCTATGATCTCTGACTTGGAAAAGCTTTGCAAATCCAATAACCTGGCCACATATTAAGAACATTTTATTTCACAAACTATTCATGATATAACTGATATTTTTTAGGATCATAGGTGTGGTTCTTACAAAGGCCTATTACCTTGATTATTTTTGAAGCATATATTACTTGGTTAAAAAAAATGCATGAGAGAAACTGCAAGAAAAAAAATGGCTTAAATGAAATTATGGAGTTTACTAATAATAGACTCACAGCTAATCTAAGTAAATAATTCACTTCCCTTCCAGCCACCTTTTTACATAAGGCCAGCAGAGTCTGTCTGCAACGTTTATCAAGCAAGAAAAAATGTAAACTCTAAAATCTGTGAAGAATTTTAGATGACTCACTGAAACCTGTTGCAAAGTCGACCACAGGAGTTTTCTAACTACTAATTAACTTTGAGCGAAGTCTTAGGCCATAAACACCAGACCATTTGGTGAGAAAACTCTGGCTGGGAGTTGTTGAGCATTTGGGAGTTTGGAATTGGTAGGGAGGGTGTGTGTGTGTGTGTGTGTGTGTGGCGGGGGGGGGGGGGGGGGGGTTGTTTGTGCATGTGTTGTTGTTTTTTAAACGGATTTAGAAATGTCTTTGGAAGTGGTTTGTAACATGGCTAAGAACAGAGATTCTTAGCCATTCTTAGCCAAACAAGCTGCTTGGGTTTGAATCTCAGCCTTGCCACTTACTCTCTGTGTGATTTTAGATAAGTTACTCCATTGCCCTGAGTGTGGTAATGACTCCTAGGGTTGGTATGAGAATTAAATCACTGAATATAAAACATTTAGACCTGTGCCTCGCACATAAAAAGCACTGTATATGCACCTGTTAAATGAAAATAGTGAAAACAGACCACGTAACTAAAATAGCTCTGGGATTTCTATTACAGTAGGTCCCACCAGTGCTGGGAAAAGAGAGTTCACTAAAATAAAACATTTTTTGCCCTGACCAGTGTGGTCAGTTGGTTGGGTGTTGTCTGTACACCAAAAGGTTGCTGGTTTGATTCAGGTCAGAGCACATGCTGGTGTTGTCACTGGATCCTCAGTAGGGGGCTGTGCAGGAGGCAGCTGATCAATGTTTCTCTCTCACTCTCCTTCCTTTCTCTAATACATGCGCGTACACGTACGTACACACACACCAGTTTTTTCTTCTCATTTTTGTGTGTATTCTTCCATTTTTCCCTCCCCCCACCCACCTTCAAAATACTATATTGTTTTCTCTTTATATTGAAAGGAAATTTCTTTATTCAGAAAGTTTCCCTAAGAAGTAAGTATAGTGTTTCCTGGATATTTTCCTAAAAGCAATTTCCTCATGTCTTAAAATGCATATTCATGGCTGTTTTCCCAGTTATGATTCATCTCAATGTCTTATTTCTTTCACATAAAAACATCAAAAATATGTGTATGGGAAAATAAAATGCACAGAAGCTTTAGTGTTCTCATGATTATCATAATAATTCTGGTACTTCAGTGGAAAAAAATATAAAAAGTTTCAATGAGAAGTGTTAGAGAGACAATGACTATAACAAGAATTTCAAATAGAACTCTCCAGCCCTTTTGAGAAGTCAAAACTGACCCACCTAAATTCACCAGCCTTCTTGAAAGAAAGATCCACAGAAACATGATTCCAGGAGCCTGCAGTTCAAACTGCGCCCTGTGTGTTCAAAATAGAATCCCTTTGGACTTGTCCTATTGTTCCCTTTGGTCTTCAGGAATGCATTCTTTTACTCTGTGCCTCAATCTTATTTCAGCACCTTATTTCCTCGGGTTATTATCGCTTTTCACACGACCTCGGAGTTTACCTGGTGGAGGTCTTGGTTTCCTCTGCCTTTCTGCCACGTAGGACTAAGCTTTACCAGGTCCTAAAGGGAGAGAGAACACTCAGTGATCATCTTCTGACCACGCCCTGTGCGTGCTCAGCGGGCGGGGCTAGGGGGCGCTTCTCTCCCTTCCTAACCTCACTTTGGGCGGAAACCCTTTTGTGAATATGCTTCTTTAAATCTCGCTCTTTTTTTTTTTCTTCTCGTGTTGCGTATCATCTACCATCTACGAGCTTTACCTCTTCCTCTGTCATCTCCCTCCCCACTTTCCCTACAGAAGATTCGTTTCCCCTTTTGAGCCAGAGACACGGATCCTTGAAGATCCTCCACTGGCTCCACGTCGCCTTTAAGCACCATTCAAACGGGCTCGCCTTCAAGGTTCCTCCCGCGAGCTGCGGCGGCGTTTTCCCCTCTGCGGTAACAGTGATCAAAGAAAGCAAGCCCCGCGCCTGTATGTACCTATGACCTTAGAACAGAAAGCTGCCGCGCCCGGGGGCCGCGTTGCAGAGCCGCGCACTCCCCCCGCGCGTGCTCCCGCCTCGCCCTTCCACCAGGTCACTAGCGTGCAGAAGGCGAGCGCCGACTACACCCTCTGCCTCCGGACTCTCCCTCTGCCTCCCGACTTCCTCCCGGGCGCCTAATAAGCGGGGGAAGGCGATCATTCCGCAGCAGCCTCGCCGCGCACTGGGCATGCTCAGTGGCGAGGGGTAGCCTTGGGCGCCGGGTTCGGGTCGGCGGCCGGATCGGCTTCCCGGAGCGCGGGCTGGGCAGGGCGCAGCGTCCCCGGAGCCGGGAGCCAGACCCGCCCCGCGGTCCCCACTCGGGCGCCCGGCCCACGACAGCTGCGTCGTTCGGGACCCGGGAGTCCCAACTTCGCGCCAAGTTCGGAGCCGCCTTCGGGGGCGCAATGATGACCAGGGACGTTCTGTTAGACCTGGAGCTGGATGAGGACGACGACGAGGATGGAGATATCGGTGAGCAAGGGGTTCCCATGGGGCGCCGGCGCGGGGCCCCGCGTCCCCGCCCGAAAGCCCGAGCCCACGCGGAGGAAGTTGGGGACCGCGCGTGGGCGCTGCGCCCGCCGCGGGGAGGCCTGCGGGGACCCTCGGCCGCTCCGAGGAGCGCAGGCGGGCGGGCGCCCGGGGCCGGGAGTAGGAAGCCCGAGCCGGCGTCCCGGGGGCCGCAATGCGGACGCCTCGGGCCGCCGACCGGGGTCGCCTGCGGGCTGCGCTGGCGGAGGCCGACGACCCCCGGGAAGGCCAGGGAGGCGCGGGGCAAGCAGGGGCCCCGAGAACAGACGCTGGATGGGAAGGGACGCAGCCCTGGAACAGTCACGGGAGGCAGGGGGACGCCGCTGCGTGCGGAAGTCTTGACTCAGAAACAACAACTTTTGGGTCATTTCCTCCGCCTTGAACCAGCGCTGGTGTTCTCCAAAGCCGGCGCTGGCGGCGAGCCTGTCGGTGGGGTGGGGGGAGTGGGTTCGGGCTGGGAGGACTGGGGTGTGACCGCCTGAATCCTCTTTGGGTTAAGGCGAATGCAGGGCTCTGGCGGGCAGGATTGGGGCAGGTGGAGCGGCCGGGGAACTGATTTGTGGCCGCGGACCCGCAGCCTCCTTTCATCCGCAGAGCCCGGGAGGTGATAATCAGAGGTGGAAGCCCTTAGGTAGGTGGACCGCAGGCATTTCCTACGAGTCCAGAAGGCCTCTGGAGCCTGGGGGGCGGGGCAAGCCCGTTCCTAATTAGAGTTAAAAATGCACAAAGTTATAAAAGGGGTGGAGGGAGAGCTGTTTAAAAGCTAACAAAAGGGTAGGAGGAAGCGGGGAGGGGATGGAGCAATTGGAAGGGGTAGGGAGAAAATCAGGTCTCTGAAGAGAACACTCAGAATGATGGAGACTGTGGGTCCCTCCCGAAGACTGGCAATTAAGTTACCTTGCTGGTCGGCGCCACAGGCTCCGCCTCGGTTTCCTGGATGCAGATCACTCTAAACATAACAGTTTCTGTTCATGTCTTAAAGTCCTCATCTTCTCTAATAACTTTAGAAAGTAACTTAATCTTAGGAGTTAGATGTGGCACCGCTAATTTATTTAGTTATTTTTTTATTTCTATTGCGATATAGTTGACATGTAACACTGTATAAGTTTAAAATGTACAGTGTGTTGGTTTGATTCCCATATATGGCAAGATGATTACTACCCAAGCCTTACTTAGCTAACACCTCCATCACCTAACATAATTACCATTTCTCTTTTTTTGCCGAGAACATTTAAGATCTCTTCTAGCATCTTTAAAGTATATGACACAGTGTTATGAACTATAATCACTATGCTGTGCATTAGATCTCCAGAACGTACTCATAACTATAAGTTTGACCAACGTCTCCACCCCCCATTGGGTTTCTATGAGTTTAGCTCTTTTAGATTTCAATATAAGTGCAGTATTTGTATTTCTATGTGTTATTTATTTCACTTAGCAAAATGCCTTCAGGTTCCATCCATGGTGTCACAAATGGCAAGATTTCCTTCTCTCTCATGGCTGAATACTGTTACTTTATATATCACACACACCATATCTCCATTCATCTGTAGCCAGACAGTTAAGTTGTTTTTATGAATCATCCTATCTAATAAAAGAGAAACATGGTAATTAGCATACGTCCGCTACCCTTCCCATTGGCTAATCAGGGTGATATGCAAATTAACTGCCAGCCAAGATGGCCCAGGCAGCCAGGCAGCTTGAAACTAACATGAGGCTTGCTTGCTTCAGTGATGGAGGAAACCAACGTTCCCTGCCTGCCTTGCCAGCCTCTGAGCTTGCAGTTTGAAACATAGTTACAAATACAGAAGCTAAACAAAACCCCAGAAACCTGCTTTCAGTGAGCCGGGATCTCAGAGCTGGAGTTGATACAGTGTTTCGATTATAGAACACAAACAAACCAGATACCTGCTTTCAGCAGCAGAGGCCTCAGAGCTGGAGTCAGAGCTAAAGCTGGCCCAGAATAAAAAAGAAAAAGAAAAAAAGGAGCGGTTGGGAGCTTCAGTCACCCGCCAGCCTGAAAACAGCCCTCAGCCCCTCACCCAGGCTGGCCAGGCACCCCAGTGGGGACCCCCCACTCTGATCCAGGACACCCTTCAGGGCAAACCAGCCGGCCCCCACCCATGCACCAGGCCTCTATCCTATATAGTAAAAGGGTAATATGCCTCCCAGCACCAGGATCAGCGGAGCTGCGAGGCCTCCTGGCATCAGGATCAGCATGACAGGGGGCAGCACCCAAAGCCCCTGATCGCCCTGCGGCTCTGTGTGTGACAGGGGGTGGGGCCACAACCTCCCTATCCACCCTGCTCTGTTCGTGACAGGGGAAGGCGCCCCAACCCCCTGATCAGCCCTGCTGTGTGCCTGATAGGGGGGAGCTCCCCAACCCCCTGATTGGCCCTGCTCTGTGTATGACAGGGTGCGGTGCCCCAACCCCCCCACCCCACGGGCCCTGCTCCGTGTGTGACGGGGTAGAGCCATAACCTCCCCATCGGCCCTGCCCTGAGTGTGACAGTGGCGGCGCCCCAACCCCCTGATCAGACCTGCTTTGTGGGTGATAGAGGGCGGCGCCCCAACCCCCTGATCCGCCGTGCTCTGTGTGTGACTGGGGTGGTGCCCCAACTCCCCTATCGGCCCTACTCTTTGAGTGACATTGGGGAGCTCCCCAACCCCCTGATTGACCCTGCTCTGTGCGTGACAGTGTACGGAGCCCCAACCCCCCTGATGGGCCCTGCTCTGTGCGTGACAGGGGGCAGTTCCCCAACCCCCTGATTGTCCCTGCTCTGTGCGTGACAGGGGATGGTGCCGCAACCTCCCTATCGACCCTGCCTTGAGTGTGACAAGGGGCGGTGCCCCAACCCCCCAATCGGCCCTACCCTGAACGTGACTGAGGGTGGCATCGCAACCTCCCAATCCGCCCTGCTCTATGCATGATGGGGCGGCGCCCCAACTCCCCAATCGGCCCTGCTCTGAGCCCGACCAGGGGCTGCTCTTAGGGATTGGGCCTGCCCTCTGCCACCCGGGAGCAGGCCTAAGCCAGCAGGCCGTTATCTCCCGAGGGGTCCCAGACTGCGAGAGGGCACAGGCCGGGCTGAGGGACCCCCCCCTCCCCCCTGAGTGCACAAATTTTTGTGCACCAGGCCTCTAGTCTATTATAATCACTGCTCATTTAAAAATTCATAGAAAGTGATAACTTGTTGATTAGAGACAAAGTGAATAGAGGGGATTTTACTCCATGGTTCAGCTTTACTTGTCATTCAGTTGAGAACAATTTATTAGGTATCCATCCTTATAGAGGGAGCAAGTAGTGTTTTCCTTTTGTATAGGAGAGAAAACTGAAGCTCACAGGTTGATCCGCCTGCTTCTCCCACAAGTAGTTCAAGTTCAAACCCAGGTTTTCTGATTTGCAAGACCTGCGTAGATTAATGCACTTTCCCTCTGGTGACTCCAGCTGTTAGATATAATGCTATTGGCAGGCTTTAGTAGTAAATGATGATTACATAAAAATATTCATAGGAGCAAACTTTAGAAAGTTATAAAATTAGCAGTCTGTTGCATTGGAAAATACTCTTGTTTATTATGGTGAAGTGTAACTGTTTATATTGAGTATGGTGAATAAATAATGGTAAAAACCCAAATAGAAATGAAAATAAAAAGGACACTCTGAGCTATGTTTGTCCCTCTGTGCCATTGGTACATCTCAGTTTAGAAAGAAAGCTAACTTGGTTTAGTCCGTGCTTGCATGATGAAGCATCATAAAATTCATCTTTTTATTTATAACTAGAGGCCTGATGCACGAAATTTGTGCAAGAGTAGGCCTTCCTTCTCCCAGTTTCTGGCACTGGCTTCCCTCTGGCACCCAGGACCTGGGCTTCCCACGCAGTCCTGGCTTCATCCAGAAGGTCGTCCAGAAGGACATCTGGTTTAATTAGCATATTATGCTTTTATTATAGATTACAGGTGTAATCTATGCTAGTTCTATCAAGTCAAACGGTAGATAAATTTAAGAAAAATTAAGTATCTTTGCCTCTCCTTCATCCTTCCCTCTATAGCAGTGGTTCTCAACCTTGGCTGCACATTAGAATCACCTGGGAATCTTTTAAAAATCCTGATTTCTGGGCCTCATCCTCCGGAAATTCTGTTTATTTGTTATGGGATGAGGCCACAGCATTAGTAACAGAATTTCTGGAGGATGAGGCCCAGAAATCAGGATTTTAAAAAGATTCCCAAGTGATTCTAATGTGCAGCCAAGGTTAAGAACCACTGCTCTATAGGCTACTGATATGAATACTTAAGTGTGTGTAGGGGTCAATTCAACATAATTTATGTCAGGCACCAAATATCACTTAAATATGTCTCAGCAATTTTTGGTTATTACATACATTTAAAGTGGGTTGCAGTGGTTTTATATCAAGAAAAAATGTTTACCATACCAATGGAAAGTTGATGTCATTGTAACATAAGCCTTTCAAAAGGTTACCAGAAGTAGGCTGATAGTGTACAGACTTTTATGAAATAACTGTAATTTCCAACTGTGGGAGAGGAGACTCTGGTGAAATGAAGATTATAAATTTAACCTCTGCCTCTAGTTTTGTAATGCAGGGCTGTGTTAAAGCTGTTGGCTAACGTATTTTCCCTAGTACTTGATTGTCACTACTAATAGCTGTATAATAATTTAAACCTACTCAGGTCCAGAAAATTTCTATGAAATCTCTCTATAGTGTTAACGGTATTATTCAGAACAGAAGAGTTATTTTGATATAACTTCCTAGAGAAAACACATCTACCATCAGCTAATTTAGGAGAGGCAAAAAAGAAAAACAAACTTTGAAACTACATGTAGTCCCTGGTTACATGGTAGAGATATTTTACATGCATACATATGCCTTCTACTAGACTGGGATTTGAGGGCCTTTCTTTTTTTTTTTTTTTTTTAGTGAGTTCCT